TGTGATTATTTATGATAAGTACTTAGGGAGCACACAGTCGTACGAGTCTAGGATCGGAACTAGTTTTGACATATACATGTCACCCACTTTCTTCTCCACTCTCATATCCTGTATTATTGATCGAAACCCGGTTGTCCTTATTATACCCTCTTCGTCCACCGCATACCTTGATTTTGATATGTGTTATATCATTGGGCGGGTATTTTTATCTCTGGGGGGGGAGGGATATTAAACAATAGTTCTCCCAAACACCCCCCCCCGGTCTACCACACCCCCTTAATAGGTAAAATAAGGGGGGGGGGGGGGGGGGGTCCTTTTACTCCCTTAAAAGTAAAAGTTTAAGTAGCTGCCCGGGGGGGGGGGTAACCAATGTAAGATTACACTTTTGTAAGGTGAAAAAAATAATCAACGAAAATGGCAACGTAACTGTTTTGTTAATAGCATAAAAAGAGAGTAACTCTACACTATGAGTTCAGTTCGAGCGGTAAGCACAGCATTGTGGCGATACAGTGGACCTCGAGCGGCAAGCACGATATATGTCATCTCGCACTGGTAGCTATCTGGGTTACATGACATTGACATGTAGATCTAGTCTAATTTTGATTACACCGGTACGGTTAAAGTGGTAAAATGACACAGTAAGTTTTTCTGGAAAAGTTCCGATATTTTTATAGCGTATTGAAATACGTGTATTTTGTCACATGTATGTGTATGCATGTTTTTCATGAATACTATAATTAATCATTTAAAAGTAAAGCGCATAGAAGAGTGATTGTACCACGGATTTGCGCAATATAAATGTCATATTATTATAAAGCGAAAAACGTAATATACGGGATTGAGGGGGGGGGGGGGGGGGGGGGGAGTCGCAGGAAAGTTTTAAAAATATGTAAGGGCGGGAGGAGGAGGGGCAAAAATTCCCAAACAAAGTGTAAAATTTTATTTGAACAGTCCCAAAACAACGCCAGCCACACCTGCCCAACGTCAGCGAGAGTTAAGGACCTGACGCATGTGTCAGGGGCACAGAATTCTACACTTAGTGTAGAATTCTGTGGTCAGGGGATAAACTTTTTTTGTACTACAAGCAATTTTTTTTTTGGGGGGGGGTAGACATTCACATTTAACTTTTGATTTTGATCTAACAAAACTCATATTGGTTACTTTTGATTGCAATGAGCGTAGCAACAATACAATGTATTCCAATAGTTCCGTGGCATTGTTTTAGCTATACGTACGCCTTGCAACTTTTGCTACTTTTTCTTGCAACTTTTGCTATTTTCAAATGCAAGTTTCTCTGAGGACAGATTTTTGAGACTTCCGGAGCATAAACGGTTTTTAAAGGCTTTGGGTGCCTCTTATGTTTATTAATTCACACATGGGTTGGGGATATATAAATAGACTCGCTGTCCCTGGGATCCATGAGCAACATCTTCTTTGGTGCATTTTCCTTTTCTCCATCCTTCTTTCTCCTTCCCCTTCTTCTATCATTTCTTCCACCGCTTACCCCGTGTGCAGCAAAACTAGAGGTCGTCCATCCCACAGAATGGGCGCCTCGTTGACCGTGGGGTGCGACCTGTGGAAACCGGGTAACTGGCAGTTGAAGTGAGATCAGTCTGCGGACTGTCCCTCGCCAACACACCTCTTTGACCCACTTTTTCCTCCCACGGGAGGGTGGGGCGGCCTATGCCACTCAATCGATTTGGAGCTGAAGCCCCTCCAGTTTTTCCTTGGGTCAATCTTGATGGGACGATCTAGTACACCTTCGTGGAGAGTATAACTCCGGAGTAGCTCTGGCTCAGTTCTGGTCATCCGAGCAATGTTTCCTCTGTTTCACTCAGTGGTGGGAGGGGAGCCCCGGAGTTGAAAAGCATTCCAACACACATTGAATCCCCAAAAACATTCTGACCCATCCCCAGTCCCCAACGATACAAAAAAGTTTCGGCTCGTAGAAGCGGGTGTAGCCACCGAGCCGAGCAGACAACCAGGAAAACCGACCTTTACGGCTGATTGTGCTCTCCCTCCTCCCTGGGAGCTTCCGGGGCAGCCGTACTTGACCATCCGCAATTTTGATGCACAGAAGAAGATCACAGATCCAACCCTTTTCATGACAGGAGATGCTTTAAAACAGACACTGGGATACATCCCCGCCAACGTCCAAAAACTGTCTTCTGGTGCACTCCTTGTATACGAAACAGAAATAACTGGACCCCTGTATCTCACGACCTTCCATGGTATTCCTGTGAATCTTGGAGACACAAGAAGTACAACTGCTTGAAGAGCGTCGTCCGCAGTCATGAGATGAAAGGCTGCTCTTCAGAAAAAATTGTGGCTATATTGTGAGGGTGTGGTCGAAGCCCGCCAGATGACTCTTCGGCGGGGCGAGACCGCCCTTGAAAAGAACACAATTGTTTTGACTTTCGATTCATGCTGCCCACCAGCCACTGTTCGGGCAGCATACTTGGTCCTGGACATGCAACCCTAAGTGCAAAACGCTCTGCGCTGCTTCAAGGGCCAGAAGTTTGGCCGTAGCCAGTCGTGATGCCGACACGCAGAAGTGTGTACTCGTCGTGGCAAGACCGGGCATCTTGAAAAGGTATGAAAGGCTAGTCCTTTCTTTCGTTCACAATTGCCACGGCCAACACTTGGTTCCAAGAAAGCACCATCCAAGAGTACAAAGCCCGAAATGGCTGCTCATTTCAGAAGCCTCGAAAGACTGTCTACCCGACAGTTATGACCCCGGTCCCTGGTCGGTTAAACGCAAAGGCAGTCCAGTTCGGGTGGTCTCGTGATCAGCCAGTACTTCTACTGCCAAACTCAAAGAGTCCGTGGTCAACAGGCGAAACTGCAATAAAAGCAAAGAAGGTCCCTCCTACTCCTGTAGTAACCACCTTCGAGGGGCCACTCGCCAACTGTTTCGGAGTTCTAGGGGAGGACGAGGTGGACTCTTCCTCCGTCCCCTCTTCTTCTCTCTCCCCACGCCCCACCTCTCTGATGGTGTGTGAGGTGCCCCCTCCCCCTCATCCAGCCCCTCCTCCTTCTTTCCAACTCCCTTCGCCCTACCTACCTTTACCCCTCCACCAGATATCCCCTCCCTTTGGAAGATGACACCTCCGATCCGGGAAGGAAGGAAGCCGTCACTCCCTCCCCAAGTCTCCCGGTTGGATGCTGCCCAATCAAGGGCGGCAGCCGAGCAAACCCTCTTCTTCCTCCACAAGGAGGAGTCAGAGCTCAGAGAAGACGGGACCTCTGTGCTCCAAATCTTTTAAAATGGTCTAATGGCGGTCCTGCAGTGGAATGCCAGAGGACTCCGACCTTCCATTCTAAAATTGCAACACATACAGGTTACACTGAGCCCACTTGTGGCCTGTGTCCAAGAGACAAAGTTCGCCCGGCTTCAAACATTGACTTAAAAATTTCTCATCATCACATTCACGC